TACAGTGCTACTCTCACTTTTTGTCAGTGTTCTTAAAGTTTTGTCCTTTCACTGGTTTTTGCGCTTTGAGAACGAGAGAAGCCTTCTGGGGCATAGCTGGATGAATATGAGATTTAAGCATACACCGAGCTTTTCTGCAAAAAAACATGTCAGCCTCTGCTCCATTTTTTTTTTTTTGGACAATGCTGGTTTTTCAAAGTTCAGGCTCAATTTGGCGGCCAGTACGACGCAGCCTCTTTCGAACTTCTTGGTAATAGGCGTCACTGTTGGTATAAAAACCTAGCATGGTCCTGCAACGCATAATTGTTCGATTGCCAAAGCAAGCGCTGAGTAGAATTTTTATTCTTGACTTGCATCTTACAGATTTTTTTTGACCTAAACTTGCTTTGCAAGCGATATTTAAACGCTTGCGCTTTAATTCTAACTTCGTACTGGCACCTTGATGCCTATAATAATGTATGGAAGCCAGTCTGACTCATTTGTGAGGGCGTTAAGGTCCTCCTCAACCAACAATTGACGAGTCTGCCTTTACTTGTAGGTCAGATCCTCTGGGACACTGGCGTGGCTCTTCTTGGCTATTAATGATGCTCGGTCCAGAATAATGTCACGTTATTTTTATGAGATGCCCTTTCGCGAAATGGGTTGATTTGGCGATTCTCCAACGCAATTTATTTCGCGTGTCACAGGTTTTCAAAGCAAGGATTGATTGTCCTTAAGGCTTTCTCGCCCAACAAGGAACCGTTCGTATTACCTGCATACTTGCTATCAGTATCTAGCCTGGTGCCCCAAAGCCTTCTGCAGCCTTGATGTTACTTTTGATAACTTGATTTCGTGGGGAACATGGTGCAAGCTGTTCGGTATATCGTCTAGTCTTAACTTTTTGCGTTATACTGTAGTAAGCGTTATTCGACGGCTGAAATTTCGACAAACGAATCACCGAAATGTGTGACTGTATATATATCAGTTGTTGTTGTTTCGTTTTTGTTATTTAATGAGCTTCGGAATTCTGACGCACGTTACGTAAGCGCTTCTGCCAAATCCAGCCGTACATATTTAAGCAATAGACGTATAAATTATCACGGCGTTACAGTATGTAATGTACACATATTAGTTAGCCTAGTTATCCTGTATGGCATCTTTCCGCATAACTCTGTAATATTATACACGTTTATTGATGTCGCGTTTATCTTCATTCGCCTTCCTGTAATGTACTTTTTTGCCACATTCTGCCAGCTAATGTCCCGCTTTATTCCTGCGTTTACCTCCTCTCGGTTCTCAAACCAACTTTGCCAACGTCCTGTACCGGCTTCTTCTGCCAATTTGTTTGCATTTTTAGTAGACCTTTGGTTGTCTGCTTCATGTCAACCTGTCGCCTACCACATCTATCATCTCCACTATCTGTGGGTTAGCCCAGTCGATACTCGCTAGTTTAGATGACAGAATAGAACACAACTTCTCCAGAGCCCATAGCACATTAATATAACGTCTAAACAGTACGTACAAAATCGTGATATTGTGCGTATGCATAGCATGACTTCCAGCTGTGTTCAGGAGCCAGCTAAGGCAAGATGTGTTGTTCTTAGGTGAATAGGTCAAAATTTTTGCGGAGGCCTTTTCCCACTTTTGCCTGCAAGAGTAACGATCCAGACCGACATAGACACACATATATATACATAGGCCACTATCGACATACTACTACTAGGACACCACTATGCTTCTTACTTGTCTGTAACCGGCTTAGTCGATAGTGCTATTGTGTTTGTTTTCAATCCCTTTCGGCCTTGTTGGCTTGATTGCCCGTATGGCCTTTTCTATTGGGTGTTTGTGGCTTTAAATTTCTATTCGTGTTAATACAACTGTGTTTAACACAGACAATTCGCGTAGATTACTGTCCGATGTCTAAGGAAACTAGAGAACAATGATTGGTTACTGTTATTACTACTATGATTATTCTTGTTTTTAGCACAATGAGTGCTGATACAGCATCGTTGACGTTGAACTTATCACTCCTAAAGAAGAGAACTGAATTACAACTAAGTTGCAAAATATGTGTCACTTATTGTCCGTCTCCCGTCGCAAGTTATTGAGGGTCTTTCCTATTCTTGGAAAAACGTGTGCTTGCTTCTGAATCGAAATGACTGGTTCCAACAATAGAAGCCCATCTTGTTCATGATTTAGATTTGTTACTACTTAACAAAGCCGTCTTCTCGTTACCGTTGCGCTTCTATCCACCCACCCCATTGCATTTGGCTGCCTGCATCTCATTTCAAAAGCTAGAGTAACACATAAAGACGTTGTATTCGGATCCACGAATAAATCCATTCCGTCTACTCGATTAGTTCACTTTATTTTGGGCACAATTGATGCTTTGACTTGCACTGGGTTGCTACTGCTTTTCTTCGGGACTTTTCGAGTCAGTCAGTCAGTCAGTCAGTCAGTCAGCTATAATTATGTTTCCGAGCTTCATATGATCAGCCATTGAATAGGAAAAGCAAAGAAACGAAAATAACCGTATTAGGTGCCGTAACAAACAGGACGCTATGATTATAACATACGTAACATGCGTCTTGATGACTTTCGATATCTGAAGCGTCTATCTTTCTTTCGCTTAATGTTACAAAGCAGCGCCTGTAGACAATTTTGAAAATGTTCTATCTTAAATTTCAACTTCTTCCGTTTGAAAAGTTGACGCTAACTTTAGTTACAGTCCGCCGTCGCCATCGCCATCGCCGCTGCGGCGCCTATATCGATGGCAATCACTGCCACTACGATAGGGAATCATCATTGTAAGCATAAAAGTGCGTCGTTTTTTAATATTATCGTATTTATTCTCTATTCTTTAGCTCGGTTTGGCTCTTTTTTCACACGGTTATTCTCCCTACTTTTTTCTATTCGTCTTTATTTTCGCGTTCCTGACACATTGTACTTTTCGACCTATCGGTGCACCTTTCTTGCTGATGCTGTTGCTGTTGTTATTTCTGCCAGTTTGACTCTGATTCGTGCGCGAGCCTGCTCACGAACATCGACGGGCCTGCACTCAGGAGACTACAGTTCGTATGTGGTTTGTTAAGGCCAGAAGGAGAGAAACCAACCAGGAGTGCGAGCTGAGGATGAGGTAGCAGCAGCGATTCAAGAAAAGGTTTCACGACTCAGCCAGCGATGGTACCATTGACAGAATCGTTATGTAACTGCTACTTCCTCCCAGTTGCCTCTAGTCCTCCAGTGTTTGCGTCGTCGTCGTCGTCACGCCTGATCGTGTCGTCGGGGCAGAAGGATTCATTTAATTCAACATAGAAATGTACACGTCGCAGATGTTGGGGATCCGCTGCCACTTCGTGATGCACTACCATTACGAATAACGACGACCGTCCCCGCAAATCCAGATAGAATGTTGTATAAACCGTTACGCCATATAATGGATAATGTTTAATTCTGCCTGCTAGCGTTGGTTCGCCTGCCCAAATTGCCACTGCTACTACGACCGTGTCTTCTTGGCCGCTGCTGCTTAGACTGACGTGGTAGGATCGAGCAATAGCGCTATAGCAAGCGAATTGTGGTGGCAGTAACCGGCGTCGCGATTAAGAGACCACAACGAGAGGAACCAAAGCAACAATCAAGGTGCACTTGTTGGGAACGAGATATTATCAGGAAGAATTCCTCGTGCTAGTCAGTCATTGTTTTCCGTTGCTGGCTTCTACTATCTGGCGTACTGCATTGAACGAAAGTAAGCAACTGAAGATGACGAGAGAAGGGTGTAAGGGAGAAACATACAAACACAAGCAACTATAGTGACACACAAACGACGCAATGGATAGATACATGACGTGTACGGAGCAGAACAACATGAATTTAGCGTGAAATTGAACATCCCCCCCCCACACACACACACCCCACCCCCAAAAAAACGCCGACGGTCGTTACCACGGAGCGCCGCAGCCACAGCGGCAGCTGCGGCTCTTTTGTGTCTTCGCGCGCTATGCTACAGGCCATGATGCACTAAAGGACAGTGAGCCGACGTTCATCATTATCGTCGATAGCGGCTGCTGTAGGGACATGGTGTCAATAGGGCTGGGTTGGGCGATGACATTTTGGTGGCGCACAGCTAGAGCGACCGGCGAATTGATGATGGAGTGATGGACAAAACGTATAATTGGTCGTTGAAGCAGCGAAATTGAAGACCACTCTAGCACTATTACTATCACACATTAGCTATCATCCCGCCTGGCTGTTGCTGTCAACATATGGCAATAGCAATAACAAGTGGCGAAGTCTGCAAGATTTAATCTGTAAAATCTGGTCTTCTAAAAGCATCGTCAATGATATTATTTATTATTACGGTTCATTTGTTATTGCGGTTGTCTGTTCGACAGTTTAGTCTAGCTACGTTCTGGTAAGTAGCGTAGATGTTTTTACATGAACTTCTTTGAACTTTAGTGAAGAAGTAGCTACTAGCCACACTTACTGATTCTTCAAAGTTAGCATGCATTGGTATGAGTATAAGCGGCGTACATTTAGAGAAACTTATCGTGCCTAATCAATATCGTAGTTTTTCTGCACAAATGTGTCACAATATAGACACAATAAAAAAAAATAATAAATCATGATAGCAATAGTGATACTGAGTAGGCATAAGGGTTAAATTGATATCTGGGTACTCATTGTTCAAACCGTACAATATTATAGATTTCAGAGAAGCAATAGTAGTGATCATTAACTAGCCTTAATTGAAGGTGAACGCCAGCCGTCCATTGTGATGACTGCTACCTTGAACGTCTTTTACACGCATAGCACGTCACGCATAACAGAGGATCTAATAATCAATCAATGATTTTAGCATCTGTATTGATGAGCCCACATCTATAGCAGAGGCTTGACCAGTTAAGGCCTTTGCATATCAGTAGCCGTCCTTAGCTATAAAGGGTAAATTGCAACGGTCAAACTGTCGTGATTCGTCACATTTTTCACGAAGTCTTTTACTTTACATTAACCGTCTATTACAGATATTCAAGATATCCCAGAAGGTCTTCGGCATCTAAAAAATCTCCAATTGCTTGACCTAAGTCAAAACTGTTTGTATCGTACGCCGGACTTCATTGTCGAATTGAAGAACCTTACGGCGCTGTACCTGAACGATGCGGCTTTAGCCTCTCTTCCGGTCGCATTTGGCACGCTGACCTCATTAATCAATCTTGAACTTCGAGACAACCTCCTCAAGATGCTACCCGACTCATTCGGACAACTCCTGAGGCTCGAACGACTCGACCTGGGCGGCAACGAAATCGAAGAATTGGTACTTTTCCAATATCAAAGCCTCAATCAAAGTTCCGCTTTTTTAGCAAAAATTTGTTTCGCCACAACACATCGCTTACTTAGGTGACGCTGTGAAGCGACCATCACAGTAGACCTACGTCGAAAGCACGGCGTAGTAGTTTTTAACAATAAGCTCTATTCAACATGTTGCCCAGTGTAAAAATGATCGTGTTCGATATTCCATGACGATTTTCTGTTTGATATTTTTATTTCGCATGTTTTTCTACGTAACTATTTAAAAAGCGTAAGTGTTTTCTTCCTGAAAAGTGCGATTTCTTGTGCGTGCTTTTTTCTCAGTCGCCGGTGATTGGTCGCCTTGAATCATTGGAAGAGCTATGGCTCGACTGTAATTCTCTGACCAGGCTGCCGCCAGAGACGGGCAAACTGCTGCGACTTAAGTGCCTCGATGTGAGCGAGAACCGACTGGAGGTGCTACCTAATGAACTGTGCCACCTGAAGATGTTGTCTGACCTTTTGCTTTCGCAGAACGTACTCAAGAAGTTGCCCAAGGACATTGGCAAGCTTCGAAAACTCGTGAGTAACAGCCGACGATGAAGTAGAACTGAACATTGCAGGCTTATGTTTATTTGACATTTGTAAAGTTTACATAGAAATACTATAACTACGACGCCTCTCATCGCACTTGTGATGAGAAGTAAAAACGTATCCAAACGAGGAACCTTTAGATAATTATAGGAAACAAATCGTGGAATCGATAAGCCATTGAATGCACCCGAGCTGTGAAAAGCAGGCTAAAAGGTACGACAGCAGCAAGTTGACGAGTAGAGCGTTAGGTTGATACCAGGCCTGACCCTGCAGACAAAACACCCACGATCAGCACGCCCCTTACCCCCCGTAAAACGACGATTAATAACAATGAAGCTTTATTACAGCCTCAAATCAATAAATCTGTTACTATAGATCAGTTATTACGGCTACATTTGCAATAAACCAGTCATATATTAGCGCTCGTAATGATGTAGTCTGCTGATTTGATATTAGCTGCATACATAGAACACGTTTAAGGTTTGTCATGTTAAACTGTCAAAGAAAAAACGATTTTTTAGGGGGCATTTACGCCTACACACAAATTCTAATTCGCATAGTTCCTATGTGAGACTAGGGCAATTGTATAATTGTAATGTGAACGACACTAACTATGAAGTACTTAGTATGCGTTGAGTAAGGATGTCGTAGGGGTTTTTTTTATTGAGCGATCATTTTCGAGTGGACATCGGGTCGGGTCAATATTGTGAAATATTGTTAAATGCCTAGTCGAGTTCTGATGGAGGTATCGCTAGACTCTGAATCGCGTAAAGGCGGTGGGAGGTGCCACATGTTTCTTGCACGCATGCATGGTTTGTACGCTGTTTATCTGGCCATTTATCTACACACGCCGTGTTCCTATTGGAAAGAAGATGGATAGAAATATCAGTAAATGCAGTTCTGACTGTCCAGTTCCCTAAGCGTGATGTGTCGACCTATGACCTCGTGCTTCTTCTCTTTCTCATTTAGCGCCTATAACCACTTTTGATCAATACAAAGCGACAGCGTCTACGTTCCCTATTGTACAACTACCATCGTTATGGCGTACTCCTACAATCAAGGGCCACCAGCATCGTTGTACGCCATGGATTTGTCCATCTACGTATATAATCATTTAATTTTCGTACTTACTGATTCGCCTCGAACCAGCCTGTACGCGTGGTGTTTCGATAGATTTGGCGGATCCACGACGGTTTTTTGTATAACATACGTGGCACGCAGCAGGAACGCAGTTAGTTCAATAGCGTTTCATCAACGAAATTATTAACGACGTATACTATACAACAAAAAAAAAAAGGGATGTGGCACGAATTTGGTACAATGTTAGAAATATTACTCTATACATCTGCCGCGTCGTTTCGGCTAAACATTTACATGGTGGCAAATTAATCAAGGAGGAAATGGTATGGTATTTACGGCTTAATTTAATCGACCGGAACGGGATGATGACGGGTAGTGCACAAAATCGTCCCGTCCTATGCTACAAATTTAGCAGGACCAGATGTTGAAAAGTCCGTATGGCTTAAGAAATTGCGTTCCGTCTAAATGCAACTTGGTAAATCGGTAGTATTACTTCGTTGCATTATAGACGCGGTCTTCCACTTATCCACCTAAATAACAGATGATTTTAAATGCCTTAGAGTATCAAGTTAATATTACAGAAAGAAAAAAGATCGTAGACTACCTAATAACGACCAAAAGGAAAGAAGATCATTATTTCATTGAATACCTATCAATGGATTTCAGCAATGAAATGCAAAATGTAATTAAAAAATCATTCCTGAAACATAACTGCAATATAATTTGCCTGAGGCAATCTGTAGACTATAATATCAATAATCAAACCATCGTTATCGGTTACTGAGAAATAGGCTATTATTTTCACTCTGTGGGGTTATTATTTTTGTTGGCGATAATGGGCTAGTTATTATACGAAGATGTGACATTTCCTCCTCGTTTCATATGGAAACTGTCTCTTTGGCTACCCTGTAGTCCGGGCACAAAGTTCCTGTGTACTCTGAAGCTCTAGTGACTGGGCGTTACAGAATACAGACGCTTATAAATACCAGGGCTCGCACAGAAATGAGCGGTTTTTTTTGAGTAGTCTCAAGCCGGAGTGCTTCCTGCTACAAAAGTCGAGAGGCCCTCGGCCCATATGTATTTCTCTGATTTTGTCCGTTGTTTTTTTGTTACTAGGACGATACTTCCTCTACGCGGACGTCCATATTTGAACATACGGTACCAGCCTGGCTACAGTCTTTGGCCATTACTAGAGATGACTAGTTACATGGGAGACCACTAGGCAGGCAACTCGTCCCTGTGACGGTGTAGAAGTAGCTTGTTTGCCTCCTAAATTTAGGTATTCTAGGTTTGAGATCGAGCGTAGGGGGTCCAGTGCGTACTAGGAAATAGTTGTCTAAACCGAATATTAACGGCAATACTGGACGTTAGATAAAGATTAGCAAGACTAAAAGCCGCTCTTTTTGTATGCATTAATTTCAGACAATATTAAAAGCGGACCAAAACCAGTTATCCCACTTGCCGGACTCACTGGGTCAGTGCGAGAATCTTCAGGAGCTGATCCTCACTGACAACGAGTTGATGCAAGTGCCTCCGGACATCGGTAACCTCAGCAGATTGACCAATCTTAATGTCGACCGAAATCTAGTGCAAAGACTGCCTCCAGATATTGGTATGCACTATTGCCGACAGTTTTTCTATCTCGCCAGTTATGTAAATAACATGGCCATTTGAATATGTCCTGTAGAAATCGTTAATGGACTTTTACGGACACAGTGTCCTGCTTTACATCGCCTCTTCGTTGTACTCCATTCATTCCTCGGTTTTTGAAAGGCGTTTTTTGAATTAATGAAAAGCACCGAAAACGATGGTTTTCGGTGAATTGATTGTTTCAGTACTTCACTGGCTTCTCAACATGCGCAGCTCGTTCGCAACACATCTTCTCTACAATAGGCCTTGTTATCGACCCAGGTCGTGTGCTATTTTCCCATGCTGATATGGCATGGAATCATTGGCCCTATTGGTGGCGTCTGCTATAGCAAACAGGTTATGAGCTCCAACCGGTCGTGGAGTCCCGCGCATATGGACGGTGTAAACCGCTGTGATTATGATCAGCATGTACTGACTATGGCGGCTAAGATAAATAGCGGTTCGATTAATAACAGCAAAAATTTACCAGTACACTGACTCAATCATTGCGTATTAATAGTCTCAGGCCTGACTAGCGCTCGCCCTCTGTTGCAGGAAGTGTAAGAGAAATTCAGCGCAGAGTTAACACCTTTGGTAATATGGTACGATGCCTTACTCTCTGAATGCAAACATTACAGCGTATGGGTGGGTCAGTGAATGTAATGACGGCTCCACCCAAATGGAAAGAATCGATACGGACAGTGTGGGGCGCTCCGACCGGCGCTTGAGACACGTCGGATAATGCATTCTAAACTATTGTGAAGTACTTGCGCATTTGGTCAAATATTTAACCCATTAGTTGCTCGGAAGTATTTACGAGCTTATTTGTACGAGCACGCTGAAATAATAAATGATACTTCGAATGATATTTTGTGACGCGTGTGTGTTACGTGTAACCAGACGCACACCGTAAATGTCAAACCTCTGTAGCTCTTATGAACGTGACAAATGGCTGTCGATAAACGGTCGTACCTATAGCCAAACGTAACAGAAGTTCCTTCGAGTTAAATCCTACGAGGCGGAGGTAGCCGACAATCAAAAACAGATAACAGGAGGTCCATGGACGTATGGGTATTCCATTCGTAGAACTCCATGCTGAGTTGGTAATCAGATAAGATATAGACGACCTTGGATCTGACGGCTCCTCCGCGCTATCCGTGTCTCCCCATTGGATATCAATGATTGCCAACGACCCAGTTTAACTTGCGGCGCTTCTACTGTAGCCGTTCCTAGTAGCACTTGCTACGATGGCTGTTTCTAATAGCGACGATGTGAACGGGTAGCGGCCCAGTATCTGAGACCAACTGCCAACATCAGCGTCATTGTACGTACGACATTAGATGAGCTAGATACCATGAGGCGTCGACAATTACCCTCGTGGCCGTCATCGTTGTCGCTCCCATCGGGTTGCATATAGCCGCCGTGCATCTAGACCAGGTGAAGCTTAGCTTAATTCGGGCTTTTAGAATGAGTGGCGGTGTTATGATAGCCAGCACCGCTGCCATCAACGCCTTTAGCACGAACAGCAGCAGTGCTTTCCCCTTTATCCTTTCAGCTGGGATTGGGACCCTGTCGGAAAGAACGAGCTGAAGTGGCGGAGAAAACAGAGCGGGCCAGAAAGACGTTTATGTAACGATTCTATTTTTAGTCACAACAACAGACGGCCGGTAGCAGATCTTCAATGGTACAATAATGCTGGAGTTCAGCGAGCGGCGTTAGTGACTCCGACGGTGACGACTGTCTATGACTGACCTAGTGGTATGGCTACGAGCCACTGCTAGTGGGTTCGTCTTGGATTGGCCAGGCAAACATTCGTTCGTTCGTTCGTTCGACGGTTCGCTTACCTGGGTCACGCTAGCCATACCTAACCCAGTCGCTGTAAATGTGAACAGCAAGCACATAGGCCTAATGTTCATGGTACAATGCCTCAACCATTATCACGTATTCGAGTTACTCGAACAGATAGACACGTTTCATCGAGCTAATGAGAGCTATCTGTTGATTATCAGCTAACGGCTGAGAAGAATAAAAACAGGTGGCATATACAGGGTGTCGTTTCTAAAATAGTATAAACAGAGATTTTAACAAAATATTTTGTGTGCGTTAAAAACGTTCTTCCTAACAGTCATGCTCAATTGCAGAGTTTTGTGTATAATTAGAGCCGTAAATTGCACAGGTTCCTTTCAAATGGCTGCAATTCTACGAAAGTTTTCTTGATAAAGCGACTTTGTTGTGTTGAGACTTGTAAGGCTGACTTAATAGTGGTCCACACATAACCCAGCAGACTCATAGTAGCGGCCATATGGGCTTGTTTCAGGGAACGCTTCTAGTCCCGAGCAGCCAACGCGGCACTAGCCGGCCAGTAAAGACCAAGGTACCATTTTGGTGACAGCCTTTCTTCAGACATTAACGATCCACGATCGAGTGATAAATTGTAGAAGATGCTGATGAACTTCCTATCATTTTGCCTTTTCCAAAATAAGTATTAGCAGGAAATCGTTTTTAACCGCAACTCCTCTCTATCGTGAGCAAGTCAGTGATCGTTTCCGGGGTTATTTTCTCCTTGAGGATACATATTTTTCTTTTGTCAGAGTAGGATCGAACACGACTCGGCGCGTTTCTCTTGAAAGGACTAAGGAGCAAGAGATTACAATTGAATTTTAAGATTCCGTTAAGATTGGCCGTCTGACTGTTTTTATTGCAAAAGACACATTTGAGAGGTCTTTTTGAGCAATTCGTATAATATTAACCATACATCACACACATTTCTGTTGCTAACGCTATGACCGAAGCAGAAGAATCATTGGAAATGTGCTTTTGGATGGCGCCGACCAACGCCACTATGTTTTTTTCGTCTATCATGGACTTGTCTCTCTTTGGAGATCCTTTTCTGTAACAGTATGCTTACGAGTTATAGGAATATACACATGGCTGCAACATTACTAAATCGTGTAATAAAAATAATTTCGAAATAAGGATCTCAGTATTCAAGTAATTTCGAAAAAGCATTTCCTTTATTTGCTCTGCTTCAAGTTCCACCAATGACAGGTGTGATTAAATAGAAGAAAAGAATACCTAGATTTTTGATCAATTTTATAGGAAAACTGGAGAACCTCACGATGTTGTCCCTTCGTGAAAATCGACTCGCAGAGCTTCCGCTAGAAATCGGAAATCTTTCCTCACTGCACGTCATGGACGTTTCCGGTAGGTGGCTCCTTTTAGTAACCTACAAACAAGGAGGAGTGATCGGTGACATCCGCGTAATACGGAACATTCTTATTTTCGGATAGGTTTAGCTTACAATATGACACCTTAATCTTACTCCGTAGGATTTCTGTGATGTGTATCCGTGCGCCGTACCTAGAAAAATTGTAGTTAGCTAATTTGCTTTTTAGTTTGCAAAATTGAGGTTTTGCAAAGATTTATTTTTAGGTACTAGTTTATGGACTTCGCTCATTAAGATTGTCGTTTGAGAAATGTCTGGCGCGCTCGCGAATAGGTACAATCGTCGTATTGTCACTGAATGATTCGTAAAATTAGTATGGCTTATTTACTCGTTGTGCATTCATTGAACCCTTTTCCCTATGACGAAGAGTCAGCTAAATATGTGCTCACATTCTATATTGTGTATTTTTATGATACGATTGATAGGCAACCGTTTAAAGAACCTGCCTATTTCATTGGCATCCCTTCGCCTGAAGGCTCTATGGCTAGCCGAGAATCAGAGCCAGCCGCTGCTCAAGTTCCAGCAGGATGTCGACGACGTTACCGGAGAGAAGGTTGGTTGACGGGGGGTTGGCGGTATCTTCATTTGTAACGCTATAACCGTAGATGAATATTGCTGTTATTATTAACTAGTAAAAAGCAAAATTTCAGGTAAACTGTCGCCGATGCATGTTTCACAAAAAAATGCGGTACAATTTATGCTTGTCAACGTTAATTCGTAATTAACAAATCCTTGGTTGGATGCTGTGGCAAATGGAGCTGTAGCCCTCCTGATACGAAATTATATGCCCTCTCGAAAACTGCTGTTTTTGTATTTGGTTACTGTTTAATATTATATGCCATGTTGTCTTTAAAAAGCCCTCATACGAGAGTTGTCTATTTATCAGCACGCTACAATTTTTTGTTTACTTAAAACTAAAAATTGCACCTTTTTTTTTTTTTTTTTTTTTTTTCGTTTTAAGAAGAAACTACCCTAACAATCTTTCTCTGTATTCACATTTTTAGGTGTTGACGTGTTTTTTGCTACCCCAACAGGACTACAGCGCGGATGAAGCGTCATCCGAGCCGTCGGTGATTACAAATAATAACCTCAAGAGTCCTTCAGATGAACGGCAGAGGGAGAGCCAGGTCAAGTTCTTCGACCCTAATCAAGATCCAGCAGCTAAGGTTGGTTCAGGTAGAACCCGTCAAAATAATATAAATGCCGTTTTCGTCTATAGAATGTTCTCATTTGGCAGTGTTCAAAAAATCCCGCCGTTCTATAGAGTTAAGAAAAGTCAAGTAATCTGCGATAGAAATTTTCAAAATTATGTTCGTTAGCACATTCACCTTGTCTCCATTTATGCCACGACATATTTGATAGCTGCAAGACTACATATACACGCTGCTTGAAACAGGGAACTGTTACAGTTGTAAAAGACTCATCTGTTTAACTAAAGCTTACGCTTGGACATTGAAGAAGAGACTGACTCGGTGTCGTAGTTTAGAAGAGTATTCAAATTTTTAAGCGTACCTCGATACAAATGTGTGACTTGCATCTTATAGTGGTCTTGCTACGAAGGTTTCCTGTGCTCTATTGACAACCTCCTGTACGTCACAGGAATTTTTCCCGTGCATAATAGCTCTGTCTGCTCACTCAGACCCGACGATACCAAGATACTTTATGCGAGAATGGCTGCATATTTCTCTAGCACCTCTCTATATCACTCTACGACCTTATGGGCCGCGTGACATCGGTAACGCTGGCCCATAAAGCTGTGTAACAGCGTCCCTAAAGGATTTAACAATATTGCATAATAGAAACGCCATGTAATACGTGCGATTTCTATTAAGGTAACGTAACTTACTCAATGCCACAGAATTGTGTGACTTCCTCAACATCCTGTAGTTCGATAAGGTATTACCCGATTCTTTTAGTTACACGCTCTTTTGCAGTGAAGCCCTAGATGCAGATCTATGAAGATTATACCGTAGCCGGATGTCACGTTACAGCTCCCACAGCTTCTAAATTCTGTACTTTGTTTTTCTCTTTAACACCTGAGTCAACTAAAAAAATAGAGTATCATTCTATTTGTTGTTTCGATTACTAGCTACGTTCGCTTTTAACAGTTGGGGTTTATAATGTGTCTTTTATCCGATGACCTTTATTGTATTCTATATTTTTGTGTTAGCGTCACATTATACTTCGCCGCAGAATTTAGTTATCAACGCATTGATTCTGATTACTCACTGAATATTTTATTTTTGGTTACCTAACTTATAGACGACACAATTTGTACGACACGACACCCCCCACCCAAGAGAGCTTCGCGCCCGTCACCAGAAGTACATCAGCCGAGTGCGCGAGGGTAACACAATGTCACTTGAAAGCAACGAGGACGACGATGCCGTCACGACGCCCGGAGGCGGCCACAATGCAGGAAACAACAAAGGCTACGCTGAGAATAATAGTGACAATGAAAGTTTCAAAGGTTCGTAGGCTTTCCGTTTTGCCTTGTCTTCGTGCAACAACGCCTTGAAGAACTAACATATACCATCATACCAGAGAATGTCACGTATGGCAATGAGTAACGCAATTTTTGTGCTTGCTGCAGACGCACAATCGACGTTCGAGCAACGGCAAGAACGCGAGGAGTCGAGCAATGATTCGGACGATGATCGGCCACAGGTACGCGCAGAGACAATATACGTATAAAACAGAAGGTGCCTGAGAGCAAAGCTAACGCGCTGCTGTTGTTGCAGGAGTAAGAAGCGACAGCCACACAAAATGGACTCTCTTAATAGCAACAGAAATTTATTGATAAACAAGAAGTTCGTGCCCACAATCTGGGTCGCAAGCGCAAAACGTTCTTTTGTTACAAAACAATAATTAGAGGACTCTTGGGAAGGTTCATTACATTATTATTATTACATCATTATAATTAACTTTCATTAGTGAAAGTTAATTAGTAAAGATGCCTATGATTTGGCTGACGCTTTGAGAGGAGTTCCAAAAATGGAAATACACGAATGGGTAGTTCATGAGTAATCTCGCATTTTCAGCATCACACGGTTATACTATGGTGGGAATAGAACTGATTTAGATCGTTTTTACCGTCGTCAACAGATGCAAGTGAGGATTCCTCATGCTGACACCCCTAAACGTCGCATTGGCGCTCTTCCATTTTTGGAACTTCGTGCCTTCTAGACTACGGCGCGACCAACTTCTAATTAGAAACATTTTTGCTGATTTGCGAACGTGTAAAACCTCTAACTGTATGCTACTATCCACGACCCGTGTGTTTCGGTCACTTTTCTCTTTACTTGCTCCTGAATCTTTCGCCTCGTATCAAACGCGCGCCTCTGTCATTATTGACAACGTCGACGCCATGTTTTCGGCTATACCATTCGGCTTTTTTTCGGCCAATTTGGCACCTGTCTATTTCGCACTTCGAATCGGAGTCGCATCTTGTGCAGGAGCGGCACGTTGGGTTCACAGGAGATATCGATTCGTCGCCAGAGAGACCGAGAGATAAACCGGAAAAAGAGGAAGAGGGCTGCGCCTTAAAGCTTCACCGGCGCGACACTCCGCATCATCTAAAAAACAAACGGATTACACATCAGCAGGGCGCTAAAGGAGCTGCAGTAAAGGAGGCTGACCTAATCGATAAGGTGGGTTTGCTTGCAAATGTGCTCGTATCGTTCCGATGGTTGGTCGCCTGAACGTTGCCAATTTGCACTGGGTAATGCCAATGCCTGCATCTCCGTCTTCGAATAAACTTGGTCCCAAGAAATTGACGGTAATTGATCGTGAACGCATGAAAGTGCATCTCTCCCTCACCGTTGGCCTGATCGCATCAGGGCCACCGTAGAAGGCCGTCGTTGATGGCCGATCAACGGACTGCCGAGCTCGTCTCTTCCCGCCAGCTAAATATGAATCGAACCAATGCTTGCACAGTAACCCGAGTCCCTCCCCATCACAGACTGTTTCTTCGTCACTGCAATAAACCAAGTGGCGATTCTATTTTTGCGTTTGCCTAAGAACTGGGAATTATGTTTTTTAATAGAAAGTAACGAACTGCTAACTTAACTAAACAAAAACAATGAGATTGAATTCTTTAGCTTATTATTAAGTTAAACTTAAAACTGATGAATCAACCCCAAGTAGAGTCTATGATACGCTGCAAATAAACCCCATACATTGGCCTGATTCGACTTCACTGTATGTATTACTAATTCATTTATTTCGAACCCTTTTTTTGTTGATAACAATTTGTGACTCGGCTTGCCACGCATTCCTAAATTTAATCGGCTGCCTATTTCAGAATTCTTTAGAACAAGCGCCTACGTTGCTGTTTCTTTTGGCGAACAAAGTGGTCTGATCTAGTTTCGAAACGGACTCCAGTTCCAATCGGTTACGTTATCATATCGGCTATATTGGATCTGAATACTAGTAAAGATATTGAACCCAAGCGTCCTGTCCGTCCACTGTTCTTTTGGGCGTCTCAAGCTGTTCTGGATACATAGCACCATCTGAATTTATATGGAAACTACTTATACTGTAAAAACTCGTCAAAGAAGACGCGCTTCAATTATGTGTAGCTAACGACCTATTAGGATCACTATAAACTGGGTAGGGCTGGCTTTAATTGGTGACGATTCCATATGAGAGAGAGAATATAGGGTCCACCTGTGATTCTATGCAAGCACAGATTGTTGGCGTATCCATTTGATGATGTTACTGGTTCGTCCGACGGCTCGCAGGTTGATATTTGAGGCGTTCCTACCGTTAATACTCTTTGACAACTATCGGTTCATCATCAGTCCGAATCAGATCAACAATCAGTATAATTAAAACTGATTTGATGAGTTATGTGAAGTGACTATAATTTTCAGTAAAAATGGTAGCTTAAACGGATGAAATTCGTTGGACCACACTTTGCTCATACACAGACCGTAGCTGATTCTGTTTTTATCAACAGTAGCATTAATAACAGTTACATGAAGCGAACGCGTCTGGACGATTCAATTTCGCGTTGCCGCAGACCCGGCGGCGGCAGATACCGGTCACTTTAGAAATGGATGTTTGTCCGTCGCGTCTGTCGTAGCTATCACAGTAAAGGTTGATGTTTATATTACAATGAAACCACAAACTAACATACGTACGTATAGCACTGTCAAAATATGCTAAATATATATATGCACGAAGTAATTCGGTTTCACCGAGCAGCGTCGAGGTACCCGTATCTTTCGTAGTGTGGACGGAAACACCGCCAGCCAGGCGAAAACATCTACTTTCCGTGACCGTAAGCTGTGCCTTCGCCTCGAAGGGAACACGGATAAACGGAGAGCCTTAGATAATGACGCGTATTTCGTGTCCGACCAATTAGAGTTAAACTAATAAATAATTACGGCTATTTCTACCGCCCCCGTCGCTGGCCGCGACTATAACCATTACGCGATCGCCACCATCACAGCATTATCACGACGGTAGCCGTAACGATACACGAATGGTGGCCTATTATTTCATTCGGCAGCGGTGCGTTTTTTTTTTTCTTTAACGACCAATTTCTGTTATGTTCTCAAGTAGGAAGAACGCCTATAGCCACATAGGTAGCGGTGCAGACCGCTATCTTCCTTCTGCTGTTTCAGTGAGTTTATGGTAGTTTGTGTTGTTTGTCTAGGCATCTTGTCGCTATCAAATGATTTCGAAGTCATTTTGTACGTACGCAGAGGACGGACGGCTTCGGACGTACACTACAATCGTCGTACAACGCAAACATACTTACTATCGGTGTTAATTCTGGGGCTTTGGAGTAGTCGGTAGCTTAAGCCTTCACTATATTTGAAGCCGCTGAAGAGCAAGCGGTTGCTAGCTCCCACCCCGCCAGTGACATACGATAAATCAGCTTTAACAAACACAAACATCAAACAAGTTGATCCTTTGTTGTTTATTATTTACAGGTAGTGAATTCTATTGTATCAAAATAACAATCATTTGTCGAGCTCTGTTGCAGTCAGTGACGAACCCGCTGACGCTTCTAGTCGGTCCATCCTCGAAACCTCGTACCTGTAGGGTCAAAAAATGACACAAACAACCGCACTCCGTTCACTTTTGCTGCGGACCTTTCGCCAGTTTATTGTATGATCAGCATCATCGCCATTATTTACCAAGCTGAAAGCTTAATAACGATTATTGAAAGCAGATGCTTGCGATTAGCTCACGGTCTTTTTGCCTTCTAGAGAAATGACTAACTGCAGCAATATTGCATAGTTGCCACCTGGAGGTAACGGCTGCTGTCTTTTTACCAATTCTTGCCGAGCTTGGTGGCCTCGCCTATCTGACCCATAGTTTTAGTCTCTGTTTATATTGTGGCTTGCGGTGAGAAAGGCGACTTACAGCGGAGCAAACGGCTATCTGTCTATATCCTGTGCATGTAAATGCATAACTATCGTTGCAGCCTTACTCCCGTTGCGGTTGATCTTGTTCGTGGTACGTCTGTGAACCGAATGATGTGTGCGTCCTTCCAGGCTGCTCGGCGTCATGTTTGTTGCGCCTAGCACTTTCAGCAGCGGCGGCGGCGGCGGCGGCACGCCCTCTTTTTTGCTACGCTATGATTACAGAACGTATATAGCATAAGTTTTTCGAAGAACGTGCTCTCTTCTTGGACGCTGCACAAAGACGAATGACGTACTAATCAATGACCACTTAGCTTAAATCATTTCTCCTTAACCGTTAACCGCACGCTACCGCCGCCGCCTAGCGCTAACATCGGGTGCTAGTTCGTAGCTTAGCTGTGTTTGTCCGTCTGTTTATAAAAGACCGGTAACCTATGGAAGTGCTGTAACGAGAGCGATCCCTGCATTACATCACACGCTCGCTCACACAGCGGTGAAACGTGTTGTCGTAAAAGCTGGCTAGAGTCGCTTGAATGCCGTGTGGTGCACTCGATACGAAGGTGTATCTCTGCAGTGAGCACATCGCTTGTAGACTACCGCTGGTCACCCTCTGGAGGGGTGTTCACACGGCCTACTACTTCAAAAAGACGGCTAGTTAGCCTATTGGTGCGGCGCGCGAATGCTTCCTGGGAGTACTGCTTTTCTTTTGCTGCGTTGGTGCTCCACCCTGTGTGATTTGTCCATATTACTTAAGTTCTGTTGTCACACCAGTAGCTGTTCATATTCTATGTGTACATATCTATCTGTGTGTATGTCCATCTCTGATTGTCACCATCACCCCTACGTGCTTACTATTGCCAAAAACCTTCGCTGTACTATGTGTCACTAGCAGTACAGCTGTTGATGTTGTACGTATGAACTGGCACCGCGTGGATGTTTGCCGTCGTCGCTATCTCGGCTGTTGCTGTTTACTGATGCCGCAGCTATCGCTACCGTTGAAGCTCCAAGGCAGAATCGTTACGCCTTACCGTTTTCCTCGCCTTAGACCTTTGCAGTAGTTCACGGTCGACATCAGTCGGCACTAGTGTGCGCCAACATCAATATCAATAGCGGCGACCACCGAGCCGTCGAACGCGCCAGTGAACGATCAGCCCAGAGAGACAGCTCAGAATTACTGCCCAGTCAGTCGCCTGATCGAGACGAGGACGGCTGCTGCTAGCTAACCTTACTGGTCGCCTGCATGCCTTGCCGCGACAGCGTAGCTGATGGTGGTCTCCTACCAAACCACGAAGACGACGATACCAGCAGGAACAACGTTCCTATCGTATCGTATCGCTGTCATCGGCCACTTGCTGGAAACTGTTGGGTAACATGCCGCGCGGTGGCAGCAGCAGCAGCAACAACGTTCCTATCGTATCGTATCGCTGTCATCGGCCACTTGCTGGAAACTGTTGGGTAACATGCCGCGCGGTGGCAGCAGCAGCAGCAACGACGACGACAACAATCCTAGGAGCGACGGCGGCCGCCGATCTGCCACCGGCAACATTAGCAGCAGCATTCCAACAGATCTCGATTGGAATCGATGGCTTGCAACGCCATTAGTTCGGGTGGAAGTGCCTTCCTTGTACTACGACTGCTAGCAGCAGAAGCAACTACGAAGACTAGTAACAAAGAGGCTGAGAGCGATTCGCGTTTGTAGGGTGTTTTCATAGAACGGTTACGGATCCTTAGAAAACGAGCGGCAGAAACGATAAGTACACGAAGCAGCGTCGGGAGTAGGCGTTGCAGGAGTCATCGCTGTTGTCCTGAAAGTCGACGATGCGCTCCGGCTTCCGTGGCCGCAGCAGCGTCAGCATTAACAACAATTACAAGACTCTAGAAGAGTTGAATACAGACCGAGTGTTGCGCCAGCGATCATGCACTCGTGCGACCCAAGAAGGCGGCCTCTGTCGTTCAATCTCTCCTGCAGGGTATGCATGCACTTATGGAAAATGTACTGATTACTTGGAAGTAGGTGATACTTGATTTCGATGTAGGTGGTGCGACTAGCAACTGCGTTTGATTAGCGAGTCAACCGATTCCTAGTTCAACTCTTCGTAGATAGCTCTGCGTCTGCTCGAGCTGGCAACGCAGTTTTTTCATATGAACCCGTTTATTGTAGACAAGTACCCGCAGTCTTCCTTAGACATCGTATTTAGCCAGCAAAGAAACGAACGTATCTGCTATCTAACTGTGCTAGCTTCAATGTCTCACGAATGGGTGATCTGGTTGTCTTATGACATACAACGCCTCTCATCTATTGGGTTCACTACGTACTGCCGAAAAACGGAATTAAGAAGGTTCTTCCTACACAGAAGCAAGGTACTGTTGTCCCGTACCGGGTTGGAGTATCGAGAGCTGCGCCCTGAATCGGTGGCGATACTCGCGGATCAACCGCTTAGCTGCAGCTTGTCATAGTCATATTAGGCCATGACCCAGTCTAGTTGGCCGATGGATAGAAGGAAGACCTTGAAGTTTGGAGATAGGTGATCGGTCGTCGGGGCACGACTGTCTCTTCTATTTACCTCGACCCGTCTCATTTCGTCGTGAACTTCATTGTGGCATCATGCCGTTGTAATCGCTATCAAAAGCGTCGCTGACGAGAGCGCCTGCGGAGCCGCGACTGAGATCGCAGTGTCGACCGACGCCGCTAAGTGGCTAGGAACGCCATCATCAAATGGACGACGATCCTGTCGTAGACAGAGCTGTTTAAGTCACGGCAGACCAGCAGTCAACTTGTCGAGTCAAAACAGATAGTTAACGTCATTTACCTTGCCTGTTATGGCACCAGTAGCGCAGCCGAGTGGTACAGTGAGCCTACCAGAAGGAACGTAGCCAATTTACTAAAGTGCTGATTTACTCTTGATTCTCCAGAACGTCATTTATTCAGTGCACCGAACATTCCTGTAAGTAGTTGATGGTGTACTGACAAGCCGGCGATGAACAGGAGTTATTGGAGGATTAGAGTAGGATTGCGTGCTCGTGGCGTCCGGACGCATAATGCGGCGTGGAGGCGATGCGGGAAACTGATAGGCAAGAAGCTAGGCCGAGGAAGACATTGCTGTACATGCAACAGACGAAAATCGCAGAAGCGGTAATACATCTCAGACATAAATAACGTGCCCAGAAAGCTACTGACCTTGCATCTGTTCTACTATCTGTAGTTTTAGCTGTATATCAACGCGTCTGACCAGGACTGATTTTTAAATTCATCTAAAGGACTAGCACAATTGCACAACGTGTTCATCGTTTATCACCACAAACAATCACATTGTATTTATAATCCATAATATAGTAAATAGTAGCTAAATAGTAAGTACACATAACCGTTCGCGTCGATGCCTGGGACCGATGACAACGATGCTGTTTGATGGTATATATAGCATCTTAAATGCTAATGTAGCAAGATTAGACGCTTGAACGATTTGTGTGACCACAAAAAGGCCAAGGATAAAAAAAACAGACAGTATATTTTCAGTTTCCGTTATTGCTCTGAGTATTCGTTGTCTTTCTGATCTTGAACATCTACTCAGCGACAACAGAAGCGATAGGTATAACGACGAACACGTGATTGAATATGCCAATGGTAAACAGTCTGATGATGATACCTCTGATACATCGATGCATATGTAAATAAATGGATACCTGCTACCTGGTTACCAAGCGGATTTTCTGTCCAGCCACGCGCGTGCCTCTCAAGACCTTCAGTCTGTGAGAATCCAACAACAGATGAACTAGCCAATTGATGACCTGGCGTCTGTCTGTTTACTTATTGATTAATGTATCTATATCTTGGTCGGCCTGATGACTCACTGGCTTAACGCTGCTTCACGTCGGGCTCAGGCTAAACTTCGGCTGTGTCCTTTGATGTGGAAGAGGTCTGTTTCCCTAACGCTAACCACATTTCAGTCTTACACGTAAATGCTTTCATCATTGATTGCAGCCATCGTCCAATCAGGCCACACATCGAGGAAACACTTTGTCGAGCTATTGTTGTTACTATTATAGTTGTCGACGCGTGTGAAACGTTGGTGGCCTTTGCATTACTGGGTAATTTCATACTTATACATTTCGTTCCATCCGGCAGATTATGCAACGGCTTGTTTTGGAACGAACGTGCGCGGACGCTGCCACACGCTCACAGAAACGTAGACGCAGACTATAGCTACTGAAACAACGGCTACTATTACCTCCGTTGTGTGCTGTTCTATACTGCTTTTTGTTCTCCCCGTCCGTGAGCCTGTTAATGAAAAGGAGAAGAGCGTGCATTGATGGAACAAAGAAGAGGGCTCGGGGAGTGGGCCGTTCAAACAGGAGCTGAGGAGCCATCGTTACCGCTTAGGCTGTTATCGTCACCGTCGCCAATATAACAGCGCTTATTAGAACTGAACGCCTTTTAGCCCTAATACAATAGCGTAGAGTGGCGCAGTCGAATACTGGTGTCGACAGCGTCAACGCCAGCGCCGATGGATCGTCATCAATAGTAGTTCGCTCGTAGTGGGCGCAACCGTAGCAGCAATAGGGATACTAGCGAATTTAATCGATAAGGGATCGTAAGTAAGAGTGATAAGCAGCTCGATGATCGATGCCATTCCCGACGCTGCTGCCTCTGTCAGTTGAGGTGCTTCTATCATCTATCGATCATCTGTTGTCATAGTTTAATACAATGCAGTGAAGAGCCGTGTATCGCAGATTCTAATGTACGATCTTAACCCGACTATTGTGGTCCATCGACAGCTAAAACGGAATTAGTTCTTCGAGTAGTGTCGCTTAGCGGGCACGCTTGTTGTGCGGTTCGATTCAAAGCTAACGTCCGATGTTAGGCCATGCGTAGATCCAAGCACAGCTGTGCGGATACGCTAGTAGTGCGGTATGAGAGTCTTCACCGTCGTAAGCTTAGACCTCGTCAGATTCTAAAGACTTACCCGATAATAGATGACGTTGTTAATAATGACAATAATAATAATAATAACACATCAGTTGACCAAATAGTAAACAAGGCTTGCTAGCACTGAAACATTGCTACTACTGCAATGAATGTCCTTTGGGCGCCATCAGTCTTTAGTCAAACGGTTCGTTAGAACTTGAGTCTGCGCCCATGTTCGTGCCATATCAGTCTGCACCTATGCTCGTTTTTGATTCGTGTGTTTTTCGCTATGTTGCGCTTCTCCTTTAGCTGCTTTTTACTTACGTAGTGAAGTTCTTGTTATTAATTATTGCATTTGTCGATAAGAGGTCCGTGTCGACTCTTTTGCATTGATTCCATCACTCAACAAAGGCGCGAGATTCCTATCTTTCCATATTTCGTGCGTTAGACGCTCACCATGTGCTCGTTTCACTATATATATATATATATACATCACATTTACAGATGATGCTTGTGTCTGTTTTTGTGAAAGAGTACTGCCGCTACCGTGGCTATTGTTTAACGATAAGATACAATCTTAAAAATGGTCTTCTTCCATACAGCATCTTGTAATGTAGAACGCACTAGAAGAGATTGTGGCTAAGCTGTATATTAGGCTGAAAGCAGGATGCTGCGCTTCAATCGATCACTGTTATATCTCTGATGTTTGTTGTTTCTGTGCTCGCCTGAGTACAACGACTTTAGGGTAATAATATTTGTTTCAAATGTGAAGCTTAACGCCTTACCTTATTGCTAACAAGCACCTTGTACGTATTGTTGAATACACGTTCAAGATTTGAGAACACGATTACTCAGAGGATTACTTCCATTGATTGTGATGCTACAGGTCGCGTCTATTTTAGCCAAGGAGCAGGCTGTTTCGGAGGAGCGTCAGCCAGCACAGCATCAACGACCAACCACTGTTGCTCCAGAAGTACTCACTCGTCAGCAACAAGCTCCCAGTGGAAACCACCGTCAAGCACAAGGTACCGTATTTTTCTTCATCCTGAACTGAGACAAATACTGCTATTTCACGATCAGGTACAAAAAAATCTCTCGTTCTCTCCACCTCAGCGCTACGACCATTATCTTTTTCATTTTATTCTTTTCATTTAAATTTCATTTGGAAAAAACGATCGTTGAGGAGAAGCAGATCGATGAGACCATTCCAGCATTTAATTATTTTAATTTATGTTGTATGAGATTTTGTTCTTTGACATTGGCGGTGCAGATTGCCAGTGAGTTAGGAACTACTTGTTAATCAGCTGGGCTATTTGTAGCTCCAAATCTAGGTCTAGGACAAAAATCAGGTATATCAAGTTTACAATAGATGACTTGATGCAGCGGAGTGCTTTGTCTAGCGCATTATACGTTTCTTTCTTATGTTACTAGGTGGAGGCGTCCAAAATCCCGCATTCAACGATTTTAGCGCCGAACCGATGTACCTAACGGTGCGCAGAGGGCCCCAGGGCCTGGGCCTTAGCATCGCCGGTGGACGTAATTCAACACCTTTTCGAGGCGACGATGAAGGCATTTTCATCTCCAAGGTAAGAAAATATTATCTAGCGTAAGCAACATACTTTTTACAATATTTTTCTATTTTGTGTAATCGATATTAGGTTGCTAGCGAGTGTCCCCAGGCGTCATATCAGCCATACAAGCAAAAAGTTTAGACCCTGTTATTGTTCTAGATTTAAAATTAATTCTGCCATGATCTATATGCAGGGACAGATCACAATTTTCCTTTCATGGACATGGCCAGGTTTACCTGACAATGGAAACAAGGATAATAGCAAAGCCCTTAACGGTAGTGAACGACATGGAATTTATCTTCCCCCAATTACGTTATAGATATACTTAAATCTTCAGTTTTACTATATAACAATGTCACATTTTGACGCAGTATCGTTTGGTCTTATTAGTTATTATCTTATTAATGTTATGAGTGGCGAAGGTAGGGATGCCTCGATATTTGTGCCTGTGCCCATTTTCTTCATAGCGGATTGCTACTGCACGAGCTTTAATGTTATAAATCTGTACATTTTTTTTAGCGAAGTCAAACAAACAATTACAGAGCATAATGAGGCGCTGCCTGTTCCGTCGCTAAAAGGCACGTAGTAATCTTGTTTTATTTATTTGCATTCGTCGTATTATTATGCATTGGATGCAGTAAAGAAATAAATAAATACTGTATATGTGCCATTTAACTTTATCAATTGATGTGTGAATGTATCAACATATGTGCTAGACCTTAATCGAAAAGCACATAGCATAGCAGGGCGTACACCATGGCTATTTAAACAGCACACACGCGGATAACCTACTTTTAGAAGGCTTTTTTTTTGACTGACTGACTTTGAGACTATCCACTAGGGCAAATAGTCATTTTCATTGGGTTCATTTGCCTCGTACGAACTTAGACGGTATCTGTCGGATCTGTGGGAAATGAAGATCGACATCAAGGGGGCACAGTCTCAGGGTATTCGCGTGCTGTACCTAATGATTCATCTTGTTTGGCGCTTTTACTGACGCGCATCGCATCAGACGTAGTGCCCATTAATAATTTCCATTAGCTTTAATTAGTAGACACTGGTACATTGCTACTTGGACGTTATCATGGACTGTTTCGCGTTCGTGCGGTCGCGGAAAAATGGAAACCGTTGTTGTCCGTAGTCCGGAGGCCTCGCACAGAGTTGACTGTGACCTGAGATGTTCATCATAGGTCATATTTGCGTCGTAGCGTACGTATCGCTACTGCTTATGTGCATAGGCTTCCTGAAGTGATCCCGGCTTAGCTTGATTTGTGCAGGGTATTTCGAGCTCTCATTTAATTACTTATCACTCACTCGGCTGCGGGAATCGTATTTGTTCGGAGTCGCGTCGCCACAGTTCCTAGATATGCAGAGACAGAAAACGTAAAGCGTTGAAACTACGTACACATTAGTTGTGATGACGATGTTCGTGATGGCCTGCGGTTTCATATTGTAAATACATGGCTGTGGGTGTGTAGTTTTGCTTGGCTGTAACGTGCGCGTTGCGGTGCGTTTGTGTATGCATATGGGATATATTACAGGTCACGTCTGGAGGACCTGCGGAGCAGGCTGGACTTCGAATAGGCGACAAGGTTCTTTCTGTTAATGAAAGCTCACTCGTTGACGTCGACCACAACGAGGCGGTAGGTAAACTTTGTCTCATCGATTTTTCGGGACCTGATAATATTTAATATAGTCAAGCTAGTGTTAAGAGCTGATCATATGGAGTCTTCGGATGCTCCCTTCGCTACTCGTCTTATCTGATGAAATTGCGCTTAGCTGGTCTGCTTGTTAAAAAAACAGAGCGCGAATATACTCTGTCTCAACCTGCGATCCCTGTTCGTTCAGTTGAATGTCTTTAAAGATATCAGTTCAAGTAATGTCACAAGGTGCATTTATTTATTTCGATTGTAATGGCATACAGCTGCGTGACTAGAGCGTGACTCCGTGTTCTAAGTGCGGCTGCCGATCGTAAAGAGACATGTGTGCCATAAGCGCTTGCGCAAAAATAGTGAGGAAAGCGGAGAAACAAAGCGTGCTGCTCCTGCTGCTGCCTCGTTGTTTGACAACATTGTCCGTTATCGTTCCTGCACCATTATTGTCTTTTTTCTACGTCCAATTTAACATCGTGTTTGACGTGGTCCTTTTCACCTAGGTATTCACGTATGCATATCACCAATCTCCAGTATGGATTTGGCACTTGTCGCCAATGCATGCGCTTGCTTCGATGCTTTTTCAGGTCGACATCTTGAAAAAGGCTGGGGCAGTTCTGAATCTAAGGGTAGAACGGTCTCCTGGCGGTGTTTCCGAGTGGCGTTCGGAAACCACCTCAGTGATGGAGGAAACTTTCGAGAGTGTCGTCAGCGTGACGTCAACACAGGTGCAACTAGGTGCCGGGTCTGGGACCAAACCCAACGTCAATCTACTGTTTCGAGACGATCCTGATAGCGGTGGGGACCATCATGTACATCACCAGCACAAAGAACATCATCGCTTTCATGAAGAGCGAGAGGAACGGTCGTCATCATCAGGCTTGCATGAGACACACACAGTGCGCGAATACACTCGTTCACCGCATATGACTCGGGCCTATTCGGAGAGTGGACCCGAGCCGTCGATGGAGCCTCGGGAGTCCCGCGAAAATACCGCACCTGAGTGGCGGAGCGCCGAACAACGCCTCAATTTGACCCAGGAAATTTTGGCACAGCCGCAGCAGCCGCCTCGTTCGCCGAGCAGTTACGAGATCAATGTCGTACACGAAAAGACGCCCACAGGAAACGCACGAGATCACCACGCAGTTAGAGAAGCTGGCAGTCGGCCTGTCGCTGCGGCGCGCACACGAAGCGAACCCTCAACACCGGTATTGGGTCTTGGTTTGGGTAGAGAAACGCCAACGATGGAAAAGAGTGACATCATTTTTAGCACGCTAATCCGAGATCGTTACGGACTAGGCTTCGATGTTGAAGAGGTACCGATGCGAGGTACGTTGATAGATGAGTAAAGCTAACCAGCTCATCCACGGGTCGAGGCGTGCTTATTTGAAATTCATAAGATGAACGCGTTAATCAACAACAAGCGATGCGAAACATTTTGAATTATTGGAGGCAAGACATGAGGCCATTGCTAGCAATTTCACGTTTCAGCTTACAGCGATAGGACACTTAGTTTTTAGAACGATTATTCTATGTGTTCCATGAGACATTACCTTTATTGGTATCACAACGAAATTCTACCTATAACAACTAATGAGACATATCTGGCGTAGCACGCATCGAAATCACCAAAAGCCTTCCAAAGGAAAACAAATTTCCATAGCCAACACGCAAGCACATCCGTTGATCGGGTGCGGGCAGTTTGCGATGTATCTTTCTAACTCGTGTTTTCGTGGCGTGCAGGGTTCTTGGTGACATCAATTGTCGAGGGTGGTCCAGCGTGGCGTGACGGGAAGCTTCGCGAAGGCGATCGCGTCGTGTCAATCAATGGAGTTGACGTCGACGGTCTCGACATTGAGGCTGTACGCCGAAGGTTGAACGGACTTGATCGTTTTATGCGAGTTGTCGTTGAGCGCATCGGACCCGTTGATCCTAATTGTAAGTTACTAAACCTTAATGCTAACTTTGGAATAATCATAACTATACGCGTTTATCTCCACAAAACCCCCATGTATTGATCGTAATAGTTGATTAATGCAAGTTGGATTATATGTGATTGCAGCATCGGTGAACACGTCCGGCGTATACAGTGCTAGCTCGTACATGGCGAATCGTCCGTCGTATCTCGGTTCGTATCGCAAACGGGCACCGCTAACCACACAGAGTTCGTTGGGGAATTCGTCGGTGCTAAATATGTCGTTTGGTGGATCCAGTACGGCTTCGCTTCCCAAATTACCAGGTGCCACTCAAACGCACTGCCCCTACACCCATTGTTACATTAAATATTGCCTAGCCACCTTCAGGCATCCGCAAAGCAAATGACTCTTTTATGAAAAGGGAAAAAAAGTTCGCAAGCAGACGACAATAAGTACCTGCGCATGCAGGCATTCACCGACATTTTGTTAGATTTACCTGGGCACTAGTCATCATAAAATATCTTGAAGTACTTGTGTTTGTATACGCACTATGTTCTAGGACCAACACTGCATGGATCTTGTGCCCGACGTTGGATTAGTTCCATGTTCTAAATTACCACTGATCTATTATAGTATTATTATACATTTGCATTGATCATTAATCATCGTATCAACGGGAAGCTATGGGAGAAATCTGTGCACTCTTTCGTTGTTTCTAACGTTCTTTCAATTAACAAACGCTCTTGGTAGCTTTCAAAGTCCATTCGACAGACTTCTGACACGTCTCTTTGTCTTTGGGTTTTTCGTGTTGGCTGTATCCGTATGTACGTGGTAATACGTACGCCACAAACAAATAGGTTTGCGCAACTGGCAGACAGAAAGCTCGATTACAGTGCCTCCGACGACGGGCGGTCTATCCCCCACAAAAGGGGCAATTGTTCCGTCCAGCGGTACCAAACCACCAATCGCACCTAAGCCTAATATTTCTGTGTCCGTGGGTAAGTACGTGAACACGATTTGCAGCAGCGTGGTAGATAGTGAGCGGAAGAATATTTTAAATTATTGAGTACCTTATTATTGTACAGGCCGTACCAGAATGTAGGCCTTGCATTATGGTGTGGTTAGCTTCTGAACAGATGAGTAAACTATGCACGGTTTTCATCTGCACGGTCTTGATGGTTGTCGGTTGTGACTCTTTTCGTATGGTACCTACAGTCTGCTCGATCTTACTTCAGTTATTAATATAGAAAGCATTGTATATACGTGTGTATATTGCGGGATCGAACTTGTCGATCGAGCGCCGAACCAATATAATAGATTCTGTCTTTTTGGGATGAATATAAAGAGTCGTTCGCACGTTCGTATTCAAGATGTAACAGAAACTAACTGAAGATAACGGACGGCATGTAAACTAACGCACGTAAGTCAATCTGGAACGAAGGCAGCTCGTGAACCGTCATTGGTTTGCACGTCATTTAACCAGTGATTCACCGCATCAGAGTTTATGTGAGGAATTTTATTGTTAGCTTTGGATGAACGAGTGGTCCTTTGGTCGTAATTTTTCTTTGAATAGCTTGCGCTTTCAATGGCGCTGGTCGAACTCACTTCCGAAGTACCGTACGTTACGTAGAATCGCATAGAAGAGCCGCATGATGGGGGTCCGTGCATGTGTTCACTAGGAAACTGATCTTGTAAGATTCTCTATATATTCTAGTATTTCAATAATAACTTGTTTAGTGATACGATGATAATTTTACGAAGTTCGAGCTTTACTATGCCCCACTAAGAGGGCACATTTCATATAAGTTAACACATAGTAAATTTTAAACAACTATATTCATCCGTATTATTGACCCTATTACAATGGCAACTGGACAATTTTTCACTGAAACATTGAATGAATTTTCGTTTATAAAATAGAGTGATTTCGGAAATGGGCTGTATATTTTCAAAAAACCTAATTGGATTCCATTATTTCTAAGTTCACTACGTAAAAGTTCGGCCGTCAGTTTATTGGCGGAGTAACACACAGAGTGAAGTATTCACATCCGAATACATCTTTGGCACAAAAAGAAAGCCAGATCGTTCAACAACGAACCCCCGTCGGTTTTTTGTGTTTGCGAAACAAAACGGTTCCATCGCTTCCACAACTGAGCGTTCTGAGATTGCGAACTTTGCTTCGCACAGTAAATCCACGGCACCCAATATTTACGAGGCAGATATCCATGAGGAAAATTGGACAGAACTTAATAAAGTTTAGATTTAATGCGCCAAAGAAGTATTTTAATAATGGCTGGTGGGTCGTTTAGGGCTTCAGTTAAACATACAGTCGCGGTGAATAACACTTATATGAGATGGATCAGAAATTATACTTTTTACAGATATACCCGTTCTCATGCAACAAGTCCAGATTTAGATGGCCACCTTTTACAAGGAGAGAGAACCCATTATCACAAGGCCGACGATGTCCAAGCAATATATGGCAGCTTCTGCAGAAAAGCGAACCCCAGAAAACTGTTATCACTTGTGTCTTTGCTGAAAACGGGTCCTTAGTATAAGCACTTTTTAAATTCATAATTTATATATTTAGTCCAGACGAACGCGTCTCGTTTAAAACGACATGATATAACGCTTACCCAAACCCAGTAACTCTTGTAACCTTGCTTATAACCTGCCTGGGCGTAATCCTTGCCGCCCTAAAATTCACGCTCGAATCCTGTTGCGCCGCCCTTGACGATGCCACCTGGATACCCGATCTGATTCCTGCTACAATCGCCCCACGCTGCTGCCATGCATTGAAGGCCACAAAACCCACGAGCTGTCGACGGAATTCCCTGCTCCTCCAAGATCGCTTGGCAAAACGACGGAAGTAATTACTCATTCGACGCTGACTGAGACGACTATGACCCGAGTCACCAATAACGTACCCGCGAGCCTGGCCATCGAGAACGGTATCTCGATTCCATTATTTTTTGTCGATGCTATTAAAGTTTTCGATCACGATCTAGATTTATGCATGGACGCGCACGGACATACATTAGCACAGAATACTTATGTTTGAAGCATGGTGCTTGGATTATTTTGCTTTCATATGACAACCGTAGAAATCTATTTTTGCATCATATACTTAGTTAACTTGAGCGTTTGATTATGTTTGTAATTTGCCGCTTGTTTGAGCCACGGTAACTTCTATACGCCTGCGAATGAGCTTTTAGAAGCGTATCGTTACTGTTGAGTGCGTGTTTCGGGTATCGCTTAGCTGAGATTGAATGCAGCTGCCATTCAACTAACCTTAACCTTCATCGCTAGTAGGTGTGTGTGTCTACCATGACCTGTCTCCTGTACAGTGTCAAGACGTACTAACGCTAGGTAAACGTAAAAGGCCATATTTTGCAAATGCCGTAGTATACTTAATTGTCGCTGCCCTTATTAATAACGTCGTCCACATACGAATACATGCTAGTTCATTGTCCGATAACTTTTGAACACTGTCAATGATTTCAGGAAGCTACGAAGATGTCGTATTGACGAAAGAAAATCCAACGCAAAGTTTGGGTTTGAGCATTGTCGGTGGATGTGACCATTTTTGCCATCCATTTGGTACAGGCGAGCGCGGTGTATACGTATCAAAAATAGTTCCTGATTCACTGGCAGCACAATCGGGTCGTTTGCGTGTTGGTGATCGCGTCGAAAAAGTTAACGGTACACCAGTTGCCGATCTCTCGCATCAGCAGGTCGTACAACTGATGATCCAGGCGGGCTCCCAGCTTACGTTGCACGTCTTTCACGAGACCCTTCCCAAGGTAACGTTCTTCACCATGCTTTTCCAGTTCATTCAGGTCACTGGATCCTATGGAAACACGGTTTCGCTTAAGTTGCATATGCTAGGACATGCCACGGAGGGCAATCGATTCTGGTTCTCTCAACAGCTTGCCTGAGTAAATGCCATGGCCACTATCATTGTAGAGCTTTCTTGAAAGGCCACACCTGGCTGCGACAAAAAGAATTAGAGCCGTTACAGCGTTTTCGCGACTTACCTATGCGGAATCTTCGAGACAAAATGAGGAACGTTTTCGCGGACTATTTGATGAAGTAAGCCAGCGCTGCAACAGAGTTAAGGACGCGTTATGGCAGACTCATATTCGTAATCAGGTAACATCAGATGTACTCGGGTCGATCAAACCTCCACCGAACATTCGCTTGGTCGTCTACAATTGGCATCGCTGGCAATCCCCATTCTACCGAGAGCGACTGGACAGTAACAACTAAAATTCATCCAAAGCGGCCAATTATGATGGTCCAAAAAGGTTTATGTAAAAATTGGCGAAAATATTTTTTACGCGTGACATAAGAAGTACATACGCATAAGAAGTATAAGTTTAGAGCGAATCTATAAGTAAATTTGACAAAAATTGATTGAAAAAAAGATGCCCAATCAAGGCCACGTTAGATGCTATTAGGTTGGTGATTAGGCACGTCAATGATGAATGCGCCTATCGTGTAAATTTCATCCCGACCTCTCTCCCATTTGCGATCATTTCAGTGTTTAATTCTGCAATGTAACTACGGGTGAAGTGTTAGTTGGTCGATGCAAATGAATGAGGTTTTTAAGTGGCCTTCAGCCGAAGTTTGTGAAGAAACGTTTTGTTATTAAAATCAATCTCGCATCGGCCGTTTACATTGACATGTAATAGAAGCTCGGTCGAAACGCATTTTCATCGCATTGTTGTATAAGCAAGTTAAGTTAAGATATCGAATGTTCGACAACGGCCACACGATTGCTGTATAAAAGCGGCGTGGCGGAAGGGCCACCAGCAGACCTAGTTCCGTTTTTCGGTTAAACGTATTTTAATTGTCCTGCGTGCAGGTAAACTGGTCATTATATTTACTAATAACGATAGCGTTGAATAGCGGCTAGCTGGTTCGATGGCTTCTTCGACGGTACAATCTAAACTCGGTCTTTTATGCGATACACGTTGAAAGCACTTATTCCTCCAGCACAGGCCAAGCACACTCGGCCTCAAAGAAACGTTCATGATGTTGGTGCCTGCCAATTTTCCAATGTAGAAAATAGGAAAGGTCCTGCCGGCCAACCAAATTAACATTACGTGCTGTAAGAAAAAACGGAGCGGATATATTTGTCTAATGGGCTTAATTTTCTGCGCAGGTCTCTTCTAGCGACCTACAAAAAACAGTGCAATCCGTGCCTTTCGAGGGTCGTTTTAAATTGTGCAGGCCGGCAAACCCAGCCAAACACAAATTCTTACTTGAATTTCCCCTAAATCGAAAATTCTCACGTCTTGTATACTTGTTCGCTGCCACTGGTTCACTGTAGGGCTGGCAAGAGCTGACACTGACACGACGTCCGGGCGAAAAGCTGGGGATGAACATCAAAGGCGGCACGGGAGTAACTGGCTCGTGTGGTAACCCATTCGACCCACAAGACGAAAGCGTCTTTGTGTCGAAAGTGTCTCCAGAAGGTGCTGTCCATAGAGATGGCCGTATCAAACTGGGCATGCGAATCGTCGAGGTCAACGGGCATTCATTGCTCGGAGCTTCGCACGATGAGTCGGTGGACATCATTAAGAAAGCGGGTAACAGTATTATGTTTATCGTTTGCGACGGATACAACAACATGCCAGGTGCGGCCCTGCACTGCCAGGTGCGTAAGATAGCGATCGCTAAAAACGAAGAAAACAATGATTGTTTCCTCTGTATTTTTGACAATTCTGATTTCTTCCTGTTAACATTAAACAGCAGTAATATACGAATTCAGCCTACTTGTGTATATGTTTGCTTTAAGCTCCCAGTTAGTCGTGATCTGTTAACTGGCTCGTTAAGTCAACAACGAAAGACTTGAGCTCCGTTTTTCAAATAAGCGTGTTTTTTTTTCACAGCTTACTAATAGCGAAAAACCTAATGAAAAGCTGATTTTTTCTCTCTCACACAAAACTCAGTAATACGAGATATATTGCTCATGTGCCACGTTCCTTTAACATCTGGAATTGATCCTTCGCTTTTCAGGATATCTCTAGCAACGTGTTAGTGACACCCTCTGGCGGAGAGCAAATGCAGCAAAAAGTTATGGAAGTTCTAAGGGCGGCTGGCCGGCTAGTGGATTCTAGCGGAGACGACATCCCCGATAAGCCTCTCGACCGCAGCTCAGACAGCGTGTTGAGCACGGGCGCAAAGACTACAACCGTGTTCATGAGCCGCAAGAGTGTTGTCAAACCCGACGACCCGCCCCGGGAGTCAGGCATCGCGACAGGTTACGCGACCGAGGTTGGTAAGAGTTCTGTTGCCGTTCTTGGTCTTAGCACACTCAGCAGTTGTTGGCATGCTAGTACGAGTAGGTCATTCATTACCTTAGCGTCTTAATTGTAACGGCTTTTAGAGTTACGCACTAGCTTTCGGTACTTAGCCAGCTTCCAGTTGTTGAGTTGAACGAACCCATAGCGACAGAAGAGGCATATAGGAAGCGGGGAAAAATTCGTGCGAACGAGAGCGAGCAGCGAAATCTAGGTAGCAAACGGCATAAGGTCGCAGAATTCGCACGCATGTGAGCCACACAGATCGTTTATAGAAAAATAATAATGAGTGTGGATAGTCTATCGTCTTACAGTTTCCGCATTTGATTGCTAGCAAACTGCCATTGACGTACGTGTTTATACATCGTATAGTAGAATATGGACGTACGTGTGCGTGAACACCACTTATTAGCATTGCCATGTAGGTTAGACGTTCACTTGTTTTTGAGCATACGTGTGTGTTAAGAAAACAGTCGTCTTATATATTATGATTATATCGCATATTTAAATGTGGTCCATCTGTTGTCTGAATCAATATGCTATGAAATGCAACATTGGAATGGGACATCCGCTAGCGATGCGTGACCTGATGTGCATGCTGCACGTCTGTCCAACTTCTCGTTCGTTTTTTTTTTAATTCATTACTCATTAATGCTTGAATGCTGGACACGTAGTATTGAATTTTTTTGTCAAATCTATAAATAGTTAGCTTATGATTATATCGCCTCATTGCTACTGCATGCTTGACCGCCCCCCAATGTCTGCCCACTGCCTCCTTGCGCGCGCTCATCAACCCCAGGAAGTGGTGCCCGAGCATGCCGAACATGTGCACATCAGTTCTACATCAGATGACTCCTCAGACTCGTCGGACGTGAGCTCGGAGTCCTCATCTGGGCCGGGTTCAAGCGACGACAGCGATGAGCAGTCGCAAGACAGCATGAACTCGCAGATCAGAGCACGGACTCCGAGCAGTAGCCAGGTAAGAACTTCGACTCTCCGCTAGCGGACGTCAAAACGGACAGGGTTATTCTGTATTGTGAGTTCTGCCTTGTGACACTTCGTGCGACTGTCGCGACGACTAGTTAGATTCAGCACGCTTTTGTAGAGTTGCGATCGAAGCAAACTCAGATCGGTGATTTGGACTCTTTACTATCTTTTAGGCTTCTTGGGTGATAATAGGAATTGATAATGACGTTGGGAATAACCATAGCCCGCTGGTGACGGGACAGAAGCGTCTATCTGCCTTTAAAGGAGCCTCTTAAATATAGACGAACAGATAGAACCCAGCCAGGAAATACTTCTAATGTGTGGGTGATTTTTGGTTGTGTGATTCATCTGCGTGTTGTATGCTTTTTTTTTGGTGTTAGTCGGTCTGCTCGAACAAATGACGTAAGTTTCACGCCGCGATTCGAGTACCGAATCACTTCTGGTTCAAGTTATCCCCTTAACGTGTCCTATATTGTCGAACAAAAAGAACGAGTTGAATCCATGGTAATAACAGGAGGTGCAACAAGGAGGCAGACATAGAATCTCTCCACGTTGATTGAGCTCGATGAAGCAAGCGCGCACAATACCGTGCTTCGCAACAGTGGTTTGATTCAGTGTGGACCCGAGCCTTGTATAAATTACTGCCTACGTCTGAGATGGGGTCGACGAACGCTTGACGGTTGAAAGACGTCCTTCCGACTTCCTATTCCCAAAAGCGCCTTCGTCCACCCTACCTAATCCCGATTTGACCCAGCAGGCCAATAACTAAAGCAAATTCGTAACGGGTGTGTTAAATCTGGTTTTTCAATCGTCTTAGCGATATATTAGGTATCTTTTTGTTTCCTTGCCTTCTCGGAATAATAGTCAAGCAACCGTTGTTTGATCGGCGAACACATACATTCCGTTCGAAAGCCTATGAAAGCTAAGGTGTCTGTTTTATGAGACCTACGCTACACTATCAGATTTCACTGTACAATACTCGACTATTCCCCCTGTATGTGTTATTATGGCAATATGAGACACAACTCATTACATCTGTATTGCAGGTGCACCAGCCTTGATTGCCACTTTGTTATGGGTTAATTCTGTAGTACCATTTTTATTGCTCACCACCCAGCATTCTCCCCTTTATAAGTTTTCCGTAAGAATTTTCTTACTTGCTTTAGGCCTAATTTTCGTCTGTTTTTCCTCCTTCCCGAAGCACAGTGATCGCCTATATACACACACATTGACAGCGTGTCCTTACCTAAATCGCTTCTAATAAGCTCAAGTGACCGACCAGGGAGATTTTGGGGAGTTGGTCAGTCGCAAGCTGCCGCTGACAACAAACTCTTACAAATAAACTGTTTCATTCCCGCTGGGCCAGTCCTCTTTTATTTTCTCAACTTTTCACAGCCATCTATCCTCACTAGCAGTTAAAATCATATGTATTAATGGTAGTTGTGAAAGTAGGATAAATCGATTACCCATTAATAAGCTATTACCCTCTCTTACATATACATTGTGTTTTCTGCACCTGCAAAACCTGTTTGGCCACTACAAAACACACGACTGCGCCCCCTCACCGCTTGCGCCCATAGGTATCACACATACGGCCCTCCCCTTTCGAACTAGTGCCATCGAACACAGTACCTACACCGATCAGCTGGCGAATTGATTCGAAAAAAAATACTAGTATGTAGTGTGAAGTCGGCCGTTTTTTTCCCGTAGCCTTCGTCAGATGCATATGTTTGCTGCATGCTTGTGCCTCTTTGGGATAAGGAAGCTATCGCAGTTAAAATTGGCCTAATATCAAGGACTGTGCGCAGTAGTAACGTAGACAGATGTTCATCGTTTACCAGTCAGTAATGCAATGGCCTATTGAACACTGGTGAGAGATATATGTTGTGGATGGGTTGCTTCTTGCTGGCATGCTTGTTTTCCCCTTCTGATACTTTTCTTCTGCATCACCTCGGACGATTACGAGATCCACTCGGTGAGTATTTGAACGTGCTTCTATGCTACCATACTTTCTACACGACGAATCTGTAATAATCATAATAACATTACTAGTTAGCGAACGAATTTATATCATATAGCTGCGCGTTACCTATACGCTCAAAGGCGGTCGTCATTGCATGCATCTCGTACGTATGTGTTTGGGTACATGATTTCGATGTGATCTGATGTTTGCTTGAGAACCATCATCTTAGTGAAATAATTCGTACCTGGACTTATGTCTCAATCAATCTATTGGTCTGCTACTGCTCAAGTGTATGTACCGCTATGCAGGCGCGACAATGATTCTAATGTGAGCCACCTTTCAGCAGCGCGAGCCACCAAAGGAGGAAAGCGGGGCATAGTAGAAGGTCCTTCGAGAAGGGAACACGAAAACGAAAACGAAGTTAATCGCTTAGCCGTCTCGTTCCTCGTCGTTAAGTGTAAAGAATGCCATAGACTAATGTCGACTTTATAGCGCGAGTGTGTCCCGTCAGATAAATGGGTTTCGTGAAGTACTTCCTACAACAATAACAACAACATCGACTAGCCAGAAGTACGCGAGCACGTGCAAAGGACGCTGGCCGCGGCGCCCTTGAACTACCACTGCCCAAAGCTACACATACATTTTCTCCTTTTATCATCGATGATTAAGACTAGCCTTAGAAAAAAAAAAATAGCGAAAAAACATTATCCTCTCGTAGGCTTCTTCTAGTTGTACGCGCGCAAGGGCGCAGAGGACCTCTACGTTCAAAATCAACTGATTAATAACATCTTCACCAGCGAAAACGGCCGATGAACAGATTATATGCTTCTACTATCTAACAAAATATAGCCATTGAGTAGCATTTCGTTTGTCACAGCGATCAGCCGGCCGGCCCACCGAAGGCCGTGGCGGACAGAGTTTTATATACATTATGTATAAATATATATACCCGTTTGTAGATGTGACAGTGTAGACAAGTTGATTATGACTGGAAAACTAATAGACGTCACGCTATCTGGATCGTTGAACATATTCGTGGTAAGATGCGTGACTCATATATAGAAGCCTACGAGAGGATAATATATATACATATATCATAGTAGAAAACATCCGTCACATCGGAATGCGGAAAAGATTTTCGGATCCCCTAGGCGTTCCCTTGACAAGAGGACATCCAGCATAAACTGCACCCATATACGACAGTATTTCGACGGCATCGCGGTCCGAGTGTATCTCGGCCCGCCAGGCCTTCGAGAGACGAAACACGGCAGAACTACATAGGGGCGCAACAGACAATGGCAAACCATAGTGAAACAAATGCAACTCATTAAGCAAGAGCAGCAACAGCAGCGCAGCAGATGGACATATTGTAGTGCGTCGCATCTGATCACCGCTGATATTTGTATTATATGAATGAATCACAGGAATATTGATCTGTGGTGGCGCGTCGCCACTGTGCCGCGACCGCGGTTGGTAATTACCGAATTTCTTACATGACTTCGGTGTTCTTTTTACTAGTTGAACTTCATATTGGCGTGAGCGATCGCTATCTGGGCCTGTACTGAAAACTCTGTGGATTTGTCTTCTAATCGTTGTGTGTAACAAAAGGCCAATGACTTTAACGAACAGAGCAGATCCTCGGCGTGCGGTTGGACGTACGCCGTAAGATAGGGTGAATTGCCGACGATCATTAAGAGTGGCTTTGGACTAGTACGTGAATGATAAGTTGTTGGCCGTCAGCCTACATAGAACACGGATCCAGCAGTTAGTTATAGCAGCTTGAATTTATACTTTTAGTTTATTAGCTTGTGTATACGGAAGACGGTGGGTTCGAGACCCGAGATAATTTTTCAGTGCAAATAACACGGTCGGCAACTGTTCGCGTGGGAAACGACAGTGCCGTTTCGTGACGGTTTCGACGAGACGCGTAGATATCTATCCCGTTCTATTATTACTCTTTGTGAGTAAAAGAAAGCTTTTTGGATGGACGAAAAAATGAGGTCCTTGGTCTCGTCATACGTCATTATATCTAAACGACAAAGCTGTATTTATTCATAGTCGTGGATGTCGACCATTCTTTAGAAAGCAATACGCGTAAAGGGACTTGATTTCTAGTGACGTTTGCACTTAACAATCAATGAAAACGTCGTACATTCGGGTCTTAGCAAGCAGGTACAGTACAAGTAGCAAGCAGTACAAGCAGGCAGCTGCTTTTCGACGGGCATCCTCGACACAGCCGTTTAGGGAGGGTAGGCAAGCTGGCAGTACGGACCAGCGAGAAACTAATCTGTGAACAGCTTTCGTGTATATATATATATAGATATATACTTAGCAATGATGACAACAAAATGTAACTGTATTTTGTATTATTGCTACATATTACTACTAATATTAATTTGGGTATTGTTGCAAGGATATAGCTAATATAATATACTATTATTACGGACGTTCGATATACTAAATAGAATTGTTATTCCGACAGAAAGCGTATAAGGTGGGTGCGTGAGCGAAGCGCGAGTACATTTGTGATCCTGGTAGAGGAAAAAGGATAGACCGAATGCTGAAAACGGAGCAATCTATGACGCCGTTATGGCGATGGCTTGACGATCGGTAAAAGTAGTCAGTCAAGTGACGAAAGCGGGAAGACGCCCCAAGAGAAACGCACCACAAACTGAAAGCATTATTCAATATTTACACATGTTACTGAGGATTCTTGATCAAACGCAGAGACGTAGCGGCAGACTAGAGTCCACTATTGATATACGATTTGAAATCTTGCCGCGTTGTCGGGCGATACCTCTGCTGGCTGACTAACTGCGGATTCAGTCAGTTTTAACGGTGTAACGGTACGGTTTGGCCTAACGCTTCAGTTAATCCGCTACGAATAAAAACAAAAACAAAGTTGTGTTTTTAAATATACGAATAAGTTTTTAAACTGACAAAAATACCAACAATCGCATATGTATATTCACGATACTTTTCTATATTATCCAAGAGTTTGGTTTGACAGCATTGTTGACAACATCGATACGTCTATACGACTTCAATATATAGCGGTCAGCTTCATTTTCTTGCTGTAACCCACAGCTGTACAGGACGGGTCGGCAAATTCGTTGTACATCTATCTATGCACATCCAAGACATAGTCTCAAGACGATTCAAGATGCTATGTAACACTATCGGCCAATTACGAGTGCTCACTGTACATTAATATAATTTTCAGCAAACTGAGAAAAGCACGAGGGGCTAAATAGTTCATAACGGGGTTCGTACGGTCGTGCACGACAGAGCTTTTCCTCGATAGGATACAATGCTGATTTTAGCTTGCCATGTTATTGAAAACCCGTGTTGTTGAAGTATGAAGTCAATTCAATATTTCACTTCTTTGAGAGTACTCTTGAAACTCTTTCCGGACGGGACACAAAACATTAAGCCAAAAATAAATGCAGAAAATCTATGAAAACCTGGGTAATCCTATACCATCATCGAAACAGTATGCGTTTGCATACGTCAATATTATAACAGACAGAGTATGGCGACAGTCATGTTGGTGAGTCCTATCCTACCGATTGAATTCTAATGATTGATTGATTGATAGGAGAAGAGCTTCAGCATCTCTGCTACGAAGCAACACCTTAATCATATTTAGTAGCACACAAATGCAACCATAGATCGAAGAGGGATCCAGATAAATCATCTACAACGCATTAAAACCTCAATAGAAGGTCGCTTAGAAGGCATTACGACGATACGATTGTGAAGTGCATAAATGAGTTAACTTGCCCATCTGCCTTTGTAAACGCGGAACGGTTCGCTAGAGGATAAATAAAAAAGGGAATTGTTAATACAGTCTGAAAAATTGCTGAGAAATTGTTGCGCCAAAAATACACCAATAATATGGCGACTGCTGCTGCAGCTGCTGCTGCTGCTACTGCTGCTGTTGTTGCTATTACAAAGGTGAAGGATGAGGAGAATCAACGGTACAGGTAGCGTTCACCTGCACAGCATTAATGGGTCCGTGTGCTGTGTGAAAAGGGCGTCGAACGAAGGCCGCAACCGAGTTCCGAAAGCGGTAACCCGGAGAACTGTGCAACAGCGACGGATAAGGAACTCGATCTAGTAAAAGACATTCAAGTGTTACGCAAAAGCAGAAAAAAGGAGCTGCGAAGTGGACGGAAACTAGGGACGAGTAACACAGTAAAAACAAGTCGTACGTATATAAGGAGGACGCAAAAAATATTAAGAAATATAAATCAATTGCGGATTGAGCACGTGGCCGTGTGTGTGAGTGCGTGCGTATGAGTTTCGCCGAATAAAAATATATTATGAGATGGTAATAATGAATAATTAGTATTATAT